GCACCTACGTTGACGCTGTCCCCCCTCTTGGGGCGAACATCGTCAGTGGCATGTGGATCTTCAGGGTGAAGCGGCCGCCGGGTTCTCCGCCTGTCTTCAAGGCACGTTACGTGGCTCGTGGCTTCAGTCAGCGACAGGGAGTTGACTACTTTCAGACCTTCTCCCCCACCCCGAAGATGACCACTCTTCGGGTGCTGCTACACGTTGCTGCTCACCGTGACTACGAGCTGCACTCTCTCGACTTCAGCACTGCTTTCTTGCAGGGCAGCCTGCACGAGGAGATCTGGCTGCGCCGCCCACTTGGCTTCACTGGGTCTTTCCCTCCTGGTACCCAGTGGAGTCTCCGGCGTCCAGTCTACGGTCTCCGCCAGGCGCCACGTGAGTGGCACGACACACTGAGGACTACGCTTGCGGCTCTTGGGTTTGCTCCTTCTACTGCCGACCCGTCGCTGTTTCTACGCACCGACACCTCTCTGCCGCCGTTCTACATCCTCGTGTACGTCGACGACTTGGTCTTTGCCACAGCTGACACTGCTGGACTCGCCCACGTGAAGTCCGAGCTGCAGAAGAGACACACGTGCACAGACCTGGGTGAACTGCGCAGCTACCTTGGCTTGCAGATCACCCGGGACAGAGCACGCCGCACCATTACCCTGACTCAGTCACACATGGTGCAGCAGGTCCTTCAGCGCTTCGGCTTCACGTACTCCTCGCCTCAGGCCACTCCTCTGCCTACTCGCCACTCACTCTCAGCTCTGCCTTCGGATGAGTCAGTAGAGTCGAGTGGCCCGTATCCAGAGCTTGTTGGCTGCCTCATGTACCTGATGACCTGCACACGACCTGACCTTGCATACCCTCTTAGCATTCTTGCACGCTATGTTGCTCCTGGGAGACACCGACCAGAGCACATGGCTGCAGCGAAGAGGGTGTTGCGATACTTGTGCAGTACGTCGGGCATGGGACTAGTGCTTGGAGGGCGGAGTCCAGTGGTCCTCACTGGGCACGCGGACGCTTCTTGGGCTGACGACCAGGCTACGCAGCGGTCGTCGCAGGGTTACACCTTCAGTCTTGGTTCCGGCTCTGTCTCGTGGCGAGCTACTCGCTCGTCCTCTGTTCTCGGCTCCAGTTGTGAGGCTGAGATCTACGCCGGGGCCATGGCTGCACAGGAGCTTCGCTGGCTCACCTACCTGCTGACTGACCTTGGAGAGCCGCCTCGTTCTCCTCCAGTGCTGTACGTAGACAACAAGGCCATGCTGGCCTTGTGTCGAGAGCAGCGCTTGGAGCACAGAACGAAGCACATTGCTCTCCGTTACTTTCTTGCTCGTGAGCTGCAGCAGCGTGGTCAGTTGCGACTTGCGTACGTGGCCTCTCAGGCCAACACTGCTGATGTGTTCACCAAGGCACTTGCGCCTTGTGACCATCAGCGCTTCTGCACTCAGCTGGGTCTTGTACCTGTCTTGCCTCACTTGCTCTCCTCTTGACCTTACTTGTACTGTCACATATATATACCTGCTCTTGCTTGTCTAGCTCTATATATATATGTGTACTCCTGCATGTGAACTGGCCTTGTGGCCTTGTCGTTGTGCTCGGACTGTGTGGTGACGTTGTGATCCACCCTGAGCTTGCTCTGCTTTGCTTGACTGGTCTTGTGACCCCTTGTTCTCCCCCACTTTGCCTATGGGGGTGTGTCAGAACATTATATAGCTTATGCTGTTGTGTAGGCTATAGTGGGGTATCCCATAGGGGGTACAACCCAATTAGGGTTTTCCATATGTACTCACCTCATTCATAGTTCATTCATCCTCGTTCTTCATTCTTCTCATGGACCACCCACGCCGTTCCGGCAAGACAACCACGCGGGAGCGCTAATCCATTCCACGTTCACCAAGCAGGCAATAACCGAGCTTCTCGAGAGTGGTGCGGCCACACCCGCCCCCGCGGAACAACAGCTATGCATCAGCCCGCTAAATGTGGTGGTTCAAAGAGAAAAGTGCCGACTGATTCTTGACCTCCGAAGGGTGAACCAAAATTTGTGTATCCCCAAATTCAAGTACGAAGGACTGAACCGGGTGGCAGAGCTCGTTCATGAAGACGACTGGATGTTTGCAGTCGATTTAAAATCAGGATACCACCACGTTGACATCCACCCTTCCTACTGGAAGTTCCTCGGGTTCCAATTCGATGGGCGCTCGTACGTCTTTCGATCTCTGCCATTCGGGCTGGCGACAGCCCCGTTCGTTTTCACACAGCTCATCAAGCAGCTCGCCCGTCGTTGGCGGGCTCTCGGGGTGCGAGTCATCCCTTACGTCGACGACATCCTTTTTCTGTGTCGCACGGCAGCAGAAGCGCGAACCACGGGTCAGATGGTGGTGCAAGACCTCAGCAAGGCTGGACTGGTTATCAATTCCAAGAAGTCGCACTTGCAACCCACCCAGCAGCTACGGTTTTTGGGTGTCGAGCTGGATACACAGCGCGGCCAGTTCTCCATTGGTCCCGAGCGGCGAGCATCGTTACATTCAACCATTCGCGAATTATGCATGGCTGGCAAGGCCGAACGCAAAGTCCCGATCCGCCACGCAGCCAGAGTTACCGGCATGCTCGCGTCGATGTCGCTTGCCATCGGCGCAACCGCGCGCGCATTCAGCCAGAATCTACTACAGACCATTCAGGATGCCCCTTCCTGGAACAGCAAAGTGCAGTTGGTCCCTGCGGTCATCGAAGAGCTCGAGTTTTGGCTACATGAATTTGACAGATTCAATGGAGCCCCATTCCATGTCCCGAACAGCTATGACGCAGTAATCCATGTGGACGCCAGCGCACACAGCTGGGGAGCGACACTAGATATGTTTCCAGGGAGGCGAATCGAGGCGAGCGCGACCATGCCCGTGCACCTCACGACAGCCTCCAGCACACAACGGGAAATGGACGGAGTCCTATGGGCATTGCAGACATTCTCGGGAAGGATCCAGCACCGACATGTCCTCGCCAGAACCGACAATCAAGGTGTCTTCTTTATTCTTCGCAAAGGTGGTTCGCGGACCCCGAGCCTCACAACAACGTGCAGAGCCATCATTCAAGCGTGCGTCACCTTTGGGATCCGGTTGACAGTTGAATGGATTCCGCGCGAACTCAACACACGAGCGGATGAACTTTCAAAGATGATCGATCGCGACGACTACGCAATCAAAGCACCATGGTTCCGGCTCATCGAGCGGCGCTTGGGACCGCACTCAATCGATTTATTTGCCAATGCGAACAACACCCAGCTGGCTCGCTTCTGCTCCAAAACTCCTCACCCTGACGCAGAGGCAACGGACGCCTTCTCCATATCATGGGCCCCCGAGCATGCATATGCGTTTCCGCCACCCCACCTCATCCCAGCGGTGTTGCATCACGCCCAAAGGACGCGAGCATCGCTCACGCTCGTCGTGCCTCATTGGCCAGGAGCAAGCTGGTGGCCGTTACTACAACCCGCCCCGCCCCAATGGGCCGCCTGCATTCTCGCTCATATCTGCCTCACCCATGGGAGCGAGTGCCTGACCGCAGGCACCCACACTCACGCATTTTCTGGGGAAGGATTGCCTCATAGCCCGATTCTTGCATTACAAGTGTCCTTCGCCACCTGACCATTCACACATCTGGTGCAGGATTGCTCGAGCGGCTCAAGCAAGAGTTGCTTCGGATAACGACGCATACAAGGGCTGACTCCACCATTCGCACCTACGAACCATACTGGGCCAAGTTCCGAGCATTCTGCATAGACGTGAAACTGCAGTTCCTGCCATGCACAGACATGACACTCGCATTATACCTGGTCCACGCGATTCAACAGAAGGCCACCATATCAGCAATACAACTGACATGCTCGGCAGTCAGCTTCGCGCATCGGATGATTGGGGCCACGTGCCCGTCGGCCGGGCCGTTCACATCCAATGTGCGAGACTTCGCCAAGCGACATTGTCCGCGACCTCAACGACTCAAGGATCCCGTCTCGCTGCATCAAGTACATGCAATGGCGGCGGAATTCCTGAAATCGAACAACCCGGGCGAGTTTCAGAAGGGGCTCATCCCACTACTCATGTACGCCGGCTTCCTGCGATACTCAGACCTCGTCGCACTCAATTGGCACGAGATTGAGTTCGAGAAAGACGCTATGTGGCTCCTGATCCCCCACTCTAAAACAGACCAGGCAGGAGAAGGCGCATGGGTCCCAGTAGCCGCCAGTCCGGGCCCTTTCTGCCCCGTACAATGCACCAAACGCTTCATCCAGTTGGCAGGCTATGGCCGCGCACAATACGGCCCGTTGATACGAGTCTTTGGTTCAGACACTACGGGTCGCGTTAGTACGACAACACCACCCTCCTATACAACAATCCGCAACTGGTGCAAGGAGGCATTTCACAAGATTGGCCTAGGACTCGAGCACCTCGGAACCCACTCATTCCGCAAAGGCGCAGCAACCGTCGCCGCCAACGCAGGAGTACGTGATCGCATTTTGAAACAGCTGGGGAGGTGGCGCAGCGATACGGCCAAGGAGATGTACATCACTCCGGCGATAGAACAGTTGGTTGGAGCATCTCGACATGTCCAAGATCCGGCGAGAGCCTCGTCACCGACGCAACACTCCGCGGCGCTGACACGACATCGCCAACCAGCACGACACATGTCTCAGAAGACCCATTTGAAATGAGACGATGCCAATTGCTACATGCAAGAAAGCAAGCTTTCTAAATATGTATATTTTTAAAAGCTGTAACGCTTTTCAAAATTATGTATTTCAATTGTACTAAACCCATTTGAAATGAGACGATGCCAATTGCTACATGCAAGAAAGCAAGCTTTCTAAATACAGTTAATACATTACAGACTTTTCTTCTTAACAGACTCTGATAGTTCAGACAACAATTCTGTACCAAGTCTGAACCCTCAGACAGCCCCAATAACGAATCTGAGGGCCTGCTGCCGGCCAATCATTTCACATCATACTGCAGACGCACAATTCAACCAGCCCGTCCCACTCGTTTGCTTGTGCCTGCCCTGCGGTTGCTCCCTCCCCCTTCATCCTCACTCCCTTCACTTCCCGACCCATGGCTGCTCCCCCCGTCGCTGCTCCCACCATCGCTGCTGCCGCCGTCACTGCTCCCCAGATCAATCTCATCGTCTGAATCCAAGCAGTTCATGTAATCATAGAAGGCCGTTGCCTGGGGGGATGGAGGGGGTAGAGAGGGAAGGGTGGAAAGGGGGCGAGGGAGCGAGCGTCAGGTGGGAGGGAACATTGGTGATAGAAGGGAATTCAAGAGGGGTGAAAACAGGAGCCCATGCAGTTCGTGTAGTCATAGAAGTTCATTACTTGGGGAGGATGGAGCGGAGGCAAAGGGAGAAAGAGTACAAAAGGGAGAGAGTAGCAGAAGGGGGGGAGAGATGGGAATGGGGGTAGAAAGTTGCACAGGACGGATGTAGGGACACAGCAGACCGAAGGGAGAGAGTACGAAAGATGATGAGGTTGAAAGAAGAGACAAAAAAAAAAAAAGCGATGCAGGGTGGTAGCAGCGAAAGCACGGGAGTGGAAAAACGGCGGATAAGCAGCACAACAGTGAGTGCACGCTTACCCACCACCCAGAACAGAGATAGAAGGTACCAGAAAGAGGAGGAGACGTTGAATGATAGAGCGTGGCACCTCTGGGGGCATGGAGATGGAAGATGTGCGTACCTTAGGGCGTGGCAGCACGGCATCGAAGTGGTGCACGTGGGGTTCCACAAAGTCCGGGCCCTCAAACACCAGGTACGCTGCTCTGTTGCTGTACCTCTGCTTGCGCGCCTGGTGGGCGGGCAGGCAGGTGGAGGGCAGGAGGGACGGACGGACGGACGGAGGGAGGGAAGAAAGTGAGAGTGAGAGACGAGAGGCAGCATAGGAGAAAGATAGGTGGAGAGCTAGAAAGCCGAGAGTGCTGCTGTTTGAAGTGAGAGATTTTTGAGAATTCTCAAAAGGAGAGCCGAGAGTGCTGCTGTTTGAAGTCTGGCCAGACCACAGGGGGAGAGACAGGACTGGAGAGAGAAAGGCAAATGCAGGGTGGGGATTAGGAAGAAAAGGGAGAGGCACGCAAGGGCAGGGACCTGAAACTGCGGGTCATTTGGCGCCGCGAACCACAGAGACGAATTTCCAGGTGACGCAAAAACCGCGAGCACGGGAGGGTGCGAGTGAGAACGCAGGGGGAGGGAGAATGGACCTGGTTGGTAATTTTAGAGCCAATATGAGTCAATTCAAAAGTCACCTCAAGGTGGCACAGACCTGGAACTGCGGGTAGTCAGGCGTGCTGAAGAGACGGCATTCCAAGCGGCACAAAAGCTAGCGAGCATGGATGGGTGAGCGGGAGAGCGCAAGGAGTGGCACGGCGGCACAGACCTGGAACTGCGGGTAGTCGGGCGCGCTGAAGAGCGTGAGCAGGCGGCCAGCAGGCACCTCGTGGTCCACTGTGAGGCCCGTGCTCATTGGCTTCATCTCCGGGCGCTTCTCCCTCGCGTCTGGGCCCTCGTGCGATCGCACTATGAGCTGGTGGTGGCGGAGAAGGGGGAGGAGAAACGGGGAAGGAGAAGGGAAGGAGAGGGTGCGAAGATTGACGGTGGAAGAGAGGAAGGTGGGGAGGGAGGAAAAAGGGGAGATGGATGAAGTAAGGGGGGCCTGGCAAGACAATGGTGCAAAAGCCCACCACCCTTCCTCCTCTGCTCCTTCAGCACCACCCCCCTCACCTGAGCCCATGCGTCTCCATGAGCATCTAGGTGTGCTCCGGGCCACACACCAGTCGAGGGCTCTAAAAGATCCCTCGATGTTCCTGAATATCTGCGTGTGTGAACATCCCTCCCCTCTCACCTTGAGCCCGTGGCTTTCCAGGAACATCTGAGTGTGCCCCGGGCCAAACACCAGGCCGATATTCCTCGTCGCATTATGCCGCAGCTCGTCCTTGAGAGCAGGGTCAGACCACAGCACGTCCGCCACTATAGCATGCGACCCCGTGCCATGCGGATCCAGAATCCCTCTCCTCGTCCCCTCCAGATCCGCGATGCTTCCTAGCTCCACCTCTGGTACCTCCCGCTTCCCCCTCCTCCTCGTCCCGCCCTTCTCGCTCCCGCCTTCTGCTGCCCGGCCTTTCCCCTTCCCCTTCCCCTTCCCACCCTTCCCCTTCCCTTTCCCCTTCTCCCGCCCGCCACCGCCGCCGCCACCGCCGCCACCGCCGCCCCCTCTCCCCGCCTTCCCACCCGCTTCCTCCGGGTTCCGAAACAACCCCCCATGGCACACGAACACTGCGCCGTTAACCACGGCGGCGAGGGGGTGCGACTCGAAGCAGGCGAGGAAGCGGCGGAAGAGGTGCGAGGCGGCGGGCGCGGGGTACTTGTGGCGGATCTCGTTCTGGAAGCCGTAGTGCATGGCGCAGAAGAGCGTCTCGTGGTTGCCGCGCAGCAGATACACGCGCTGCGGGAACAGCACCTGGGGGAAGGTGGACGGGGGCGTGCGGGAGTAGGGGAGCGCGAAAGGGGGACGGGGAGCGGGGAGTGGGGTCGAAAGAGGATGTGGAGGAAGAGAGGGGACACAGGCGGCGGAAACGGCGGCGGGGAAGAGGGGACGGATAAACGGCGGAGGGGTGTCTATCCCGCCGCGCCTACCTTCCAGCTCAGCAGCAGCAGATACGTCTCCAGGCCCCACGCGCCGCGGTCCACGTAGTCGCCGTTGAACACGAAGAAGCGCGAGTCGCAGGGCTCGCCCGTCAGTCGCAGCAGTCGCAGCACGTCGTGCAGCTGCCCGTGCACGTCGCCCACCACCACCACTTGCACCCCCGCCTCTCCTCCCCCTGATCCTTCCCCTTCCGCCGCCGCTTCTCCTGCTGCCTCGCCTTTCTCTCCCTCTCCTACCCTTTCTTCTCCTTCTGCTCCTACCGCGGCGGCGGCGGCGCCGGCAGAGAGTCCATCATCTACGTTCCCGCCTGAAACTGCCTCTTCGCAAGGAGCCTTCCCATCGCGCCGCGGAATCTCCTCCCCTTCTCCTCCTGCAATTTCCCCTCCCGCTCCTTCCCCTCCCCTTGCCTCGGCTTTCCCCCCATCATTGGAAACACCCGTCCCCATCTTCCCCCCCTCTCCCGTTCCGCCTACTGCGGACGGGCCAGGTCGGGATTTCGTCGCCGCCGCGGTTGGCGCCGCCGATTGCGGCCACACGCGCACGACGTTTGGCTCCTTGTGCAGGATTTTATACGCGGCATTGAGAATGCCGTCCACAGTGGCAACAGGGAGGACGGTGGGAAGATCCTCTGGAGACACGTGGCGCGAAGTGTGGTCCAGACGCGCTGCGAACTCGCGCACCCACGCGACGGAGATCTGACCGTCGGCGGGCCATGTCACCGGCGGACAGGGGCCATCGGACGGCGGAGATTCCGCGACGGATCCGACCGCGGTATCAACGGTTGGTTCCGCACTCATTGCGCGAGCAGAACCCGCGGAAGTGGGCGGGGAGGCTCGGACTGGACGAGAGATGGGGCAGCACGGCTGGCAGGTGAATCTGGCTGGCTAGACAGTAGCGCAGATTTTTCAGCATGTGCTCTGCGCAATTGAGGCAGGAAAATGCACAACAGTCAACGGCATCCCCGCTCTAGGATGAATCCGGAACGGCACTTCACACCGGATTCTCACTGTATGGCATTAACTCTTCTAACTGATACACCTGAGAACATGTTGTCCTGATTTTTACATAGCAAACAGCTTACTGGTGGTGTGACTCTGAACTGAATCTATAGCCAATATGCGAATCTTAAAGCACAGCAGCGTTGTTGTGCTCGATGCTGTACACTTCCATTGCAGCAGCAGCAGCAGCAGCAGCAGCAGCAGCCCTGGAATCACCATCTACAGCTGAGTATGGGATGGGACGGGACCCCGTGGTGGTGCCACCCTTTACCGGGGTATCATTTGCCTTAAAACGTATGGCGTCACAAACTACACAAAATCTGGTGCAATGAGTGCCAGCAAACTTTGAAATAGAGCCATAACGCGGACAAGAGGTGAAGAATCTGTCCGCAAGCCCATGTCATGAGTCTGGCGGCGGGGGAACCGTCTCTTTAGGGTGTTTAGAGCCGTAGTGGTCAACGAGCTGATTGTAATTGGCAAGCAGAACCTGGGGACATGAAAAGAGAGAATATGAGAGTAGGAGGACAGGAACAAGCGAGAAAGAACATAAATGGTGGAAGTGAAAACGCAATACAAGCCAAGGAGGACGTGAAAGAGGAAAACCTTAAAGGCTTATGAGCCAGATTCCAAATCAGTCCACTGAAGTGCAGGCCAAGAGCAAGTTTCCAGGGTCATGTTGCTCCACAACACAGAGTCACCACGGACACGGCCCAGTGGTATGTGACAGGGACGGCTGCACGGGCCTCGTGGCATTGACAAACAACCGACCGCTGGCAAAACAACAGGAACAATGCGCTCGCAATACTCCTTCGCTCCGTCGTCCGCAGCGTTAATCTCCCCGTAATTGGCAAAGAAAGAATTCCGTTATGCGCAGTGACGTCATTTGTGTAACCTTATACGACGACGCAAAAGCACCAAGATGGTACATTATGTATTAGCCTATTAAAGCAGTTCTTCTTATCGCAACCAATCAGCTCCGTACGGAGGTAGCCTCCTAAACTGGCCTACCAGTGGAGACAACATACCTTACAAATCGGGCACGTTGACTTGAAAGCGGCGGCGCGGGCCTCTAATTGCGAGCCCTTAGGCTTTTGATTCCGCGCTTCGTTGCGCTTCTGCGACTCGATCTTTTGCTTGCCACGCGTCATGATTATGCTTGGCAAGCCCAGAGGAACGGGATCGACAGATGGACCAGCGAGAAGCAATAGCGTTTGTTGCAGCACACGGTGACACCCGACGACGAGTCAGTGAAGCAGCATGACGCGATCATGCATAGTGGACAAGCGAATGCTAGCGGTCTTGAACTGATGATGCTTGCAACACAGAACACCTACCTTGATGAGAGGAGCGAAGGGTGTTGTGAGTGCAAATTAGGTGAGAGGTCTTTAGTTGTTAATTTAATAAGATTGTTTTCCTCTTTTTCATCTCTACTCCAAAACAGAAGGTGCCCCTTAACGAGGACGATTTGCCAAGTTTCGTAAGAGTGCGCGCGCTGCCACGAGGCCTACTGCAATACCCGCAAAAAGGTGACAGGATATTACAATTCGCTATCAAAGACATTCACCATGTATACCGTAACGATTGTGTTGCAATTCGTGCTCGCATCAGCTTTTCCGGGGCAAACGTTGAGTGGGCTGGGTTGGCTGGGAGGGATGGAGGTGTTTTGTGTGGTTTTCCCCAGACCCCCATTTGAATTTGATTACTGCCACGCGGCACACACCTGGCCGTGTAAGATCGTCACACTCCAGATGTGGACACGTTGCTATCGAGAAGACCGCCTTGGGTGGACCGCCGACAGGTGTCGTAAAATCTCTAGCTTTCAACACGTCACTACATCCTACGCAGCAAGCTCCCACCCATCCAATACCCAACTCGTTTCCCTCAGTGCCCAATCAAGCCACCCCTATATTTTCCCACTGACACTTAGCCGTAATACATTCCCCTAACCACCTTTCACTGTTTTCCAGACCGACCCTACTCCACCTATTTCACCGACACGAGACCCAGCAGAGCGCAGACCCGTAGCACCCTGAACATAAAAATCCAATTTACCGCACTAGTTCTCACTCCAATACTCTTAGCTGGTCAGATCGGACCAGGGTTCGTCACGACAGACCAGTTGCACTTGAGTATCTTTTCCATCTTGTGAGGGAAAAGGCAGCTCAACCCAGTTCGGCAGTCTGAAAAGGAGAGGGAGGGTTGGCAGACCTAGTCTGATTTCTTTCTGCTGGTCACTCTCCGTGACTCGTGCTGATCAGCCATGGCGGCCCTCCAGGCGTGCTCAGCGTCCAGGCTGTGCGTATCAGCAGCTTCTCGCCAAACAGCCGCGCCGCGGCGAAGAGCCACAGTCTGCTCTGCGGACTCCACTCCCCTCCTCTACAAGCCTCTCGCCGCCTCCTCGTCCACTCAGTTCACCTCCTTCTCTCCTCTCCCTTCCCGCGCTTCAACCACCATCTCTCCCCGCTCGCGCTCGCAACGCTCGTCCGTGCGATGCGCGGCGGCGGACCGTTCTGCGTCGCAGCCGCGCATGATCCAGCACAAGCAGGAGGCGTTCTGGTTCTACCGCTTCCTGTCGATCGTGTACGATCACGTTATCAACCCCGGTCACTGGACCGAGGACATGCGTGACGACGCGCTCGAGCCGGCGGATCTCAATGACCGCAATCTGCGCGTGGTTGATGTTGGAGGCGGCACGGGTTTCACGACGCTCGGTGTGGTCAAGCACGTGGACGCCAAGAACGTAACGATTCTCGACCAGTCGCCGCACCAGCTCGCAAAGGCCAAGGAGAAGGCGCCGCTGAAGGACTGCACGATCATCGAGGGCGACGCGGAGGACCTGCCGTTTCCCACGGACTATGCCGACCGTTACACCTCTGCTGGCAGGTGAGACACGGGGTGTTAGAATCTGCGTATGTGTTTCGATGGAGCGACGCACGCAGTTGTTGAGCGTTTGGTCCTTTTTGGGGAAGGAACGATGTCAGGGCGATGGCTGACCGTCGATCTGCGCCTCCGTTATCACCGTCGGATCTTGCTCCTTTGTTTTTTCACCTCGAGCCTTGCGATTAGTTTGCACGTGTCGAGATTATTCTGGCCAATTTCTTTGCGCATCGACGGTGATCCGCTTAGGTGACTGTTATTTTTAGTGCGACTATTTCTTAGCATTGAAACGTTGAAGACGTACCAAGAATAATAAACGAAACTGGATTGAAATTCCTAGCCCTAATTTTCTTATTACTAATGTCGGCCTCTTAAGGACTCCCCTCCTGATCGTCTTATCGTCTCTCATTCCTCCCTTTCTCTTCGGCTCGTCGCATCTTCCTATTTCTCCATCGCCTCGTCCTCTCTTCTTCGTCTCACTTTCTCATTTCCCTCCCTGCATCTCTCCTCCGTTACTCGCGCGTCCCTCTCCCCCTCAGCATCGAGTACTGGCCCGACCCCCAGCGCGGCATCAAGGAGGCGTACCGCGTCCTCAAGCCGGGCGGCAAGGCGTGTCTCATCGGTCCCGTGCACCCCACGTTCTGGCTCTCGCGGTTCTTCGCGGACATGTGGATGCTCTTCCCCACGGAGCAGGAGTACATTGACTGGTTCACCAAGGCCGGCTTCTCCGATGTTAAGCTCAAGAGGATCGGCCCTAAGTGGTACCGCGGGGACCGCCGCCACGGACTCATTATGGGCTGCTCCGTTACCGGCGTGAAGACCCAGCCCGGGGATTCTCCTCTTCAGGTAAGACACGTTCAGCAGTTTCTGACCATGTTTTGCTTTCGTTAGCTCATGAAGGCCGCGTTGACTAAACAAGGACAGGAATTGGACGGGGATTATAGCATATATAACGGTTGGGAAGAACCAGGCGGTGTATGCTGCTTTCAGGATCACATTGTGGCGTTACTACCCTACATCTTGCCTGTATCATTGAGCTGCCTCCCTCTGCAAGCAAGCTGTCATCATTTTGTTCCCCCTTGCTCCGTTCTTTGTCCTCGCACCATTGTCATCATTTCCTCGCCTTTTCCCTTCGTCTCCTCTCTCGTTTCCTGCCTTCTCACTCCCTACTTCGCTCTTTTCCCCTTCTCCCATGCATCAGCAATTGCAAGCAGCATCATGTATCCGTTTTCCTCTCATGGTGAACTTCCTCGTTTCCACTTGCTAATGTTTCCTTTCCTTCCTAATTCCCTTCCCTCCATCCAGATGGGTCCCAAGGCTGAGGACGTGAAGGGCCCGTTCAACCCCTTCTCTTTCGCCTTCCGCTTTATCGTGGGCACCATCTGCAGTCTGTACTATGTTATCATCCCCGTCTACATGTGGCTCAAAGACCAGCTTCTGCCCAAGGACTGGAAGTTCACTGAGGACTAGGTATCTGTTTTTCGTAATGAAGTACTCCTTTTTAACTTGTTATCAGTTGCTACGAAGCTTTTGTGAATTTTACTTGCCTTATAATCGTAGTCGTCAAGCAAAATCATCCAAAATGCAACTGTGCAACTGATAAACTAACATGTACACTGATGTCAACGATGTCACCACCTTCAAAGCAGGCCCTTCAAAAACAGGGTATTGTGACACGACTTTCCGAGGAGTGCAGTGCAGTCGTCATAGGCAGTCGTCATAGGATTCAAATCTGAGATATACATGTTGGGCTGAGAAAAAGCCCTTAGGATCTTTGCAGGGGTGAACTCTGGGTAGGATCAATGTAATAGTGAAAGCGCTTGATGAAGATATTGTGAACCACCTTGCGCTGGTATGTGAGGGCAAAGTAGATTGATTAAAGTCAGCAGGCAAAATAGTGACCCCCCCCTTCTAGTTGGGTCCACTTGAAGATGAAGTATTTTTGTTTTGTTTTGGAATGTTGGAATTGCTGTATGTGTGCTTTTTTTTCCGACCCTCGGACGAGTTTCTTATTGGACCAGCCAGGTTCATTGTCAATTCTGATTGGCAGCCAGGTTCTCTCACATGTACATGTGCGAATTTGGCGCAAAGTTGAGCGACGAGCACTCCTGCATTCACTAGAGCCAATACTTCACCAAATTCACAACTAGCAACATCTCACGCTAAATCCCAAGCAGACACACATGTACGTGATGAGAGTGAAAGTGTTTGAACGTTATTAGAGCTAGTAGAGCTCTGATCAATGTGCTGCCTTGGACTTGAGGCCTGGGAGAGGTGCAATAACGGGAAACAGAAGAGAAAAACAGCACTAGGGGGGAAATTATGATGGGCAAGGTGACGCGAATGAAGAGAAAGAGGGAGGGCGACGGGAAACGGGAGGGCGACGGGAAGGGAGGGCGTAGGAAACGGGAGGGCGACGGAAGAAGGGGGGCGACGGGAAACGGGAGGGCGACGGGAAACGGGAGGGCGACGGGAAACGCGAGGGCGACGGGAAACGGGAGGGCGACGGGAAACGGGAGGGCGACGGAAAACGGGAGGGCGACGGGAAACGGGAGGGCGACGGGAAACGCGAGGGCGACGGGAAAAGGGAGGGCGACGGAAGAAGGGAGGGCGACGGGAAACGGGAGGGCGACGGGAAACCGGAGGGCGACGGGAAACGCGAGGGCGACGGGAAACGGGAGGGCGACGGGAAAAGGGAGGGCGACGGGAAACGGGAGGGGGGCGGGAAACGGGAGGGCGACGGGAAACGGGAGGGCGACGGGAGAGAGGATAGGCGGCGGGAGAGAGGGTGTCGAGAATAGATGGAAAGACAGAAAAAACAAACAAACCAAACACAATAACAGAGTACGGAATGGGTCACGCTGACGCGATAGCAGAGGGAGAACGAGAGAGGCGACGGAGAAAGGAGGGCATACGTGATGGGAGAGTCGAAGGTCGCCGGGAGGGCTATTCGAGGCGAGCGAGAAGGGAGGATGGGAAGGGAGCAGAAAGAGAGAGGGCAATGGGAAGGAGCGGAGAGAGCGCGACGGGAAGGGAGCGGAGAGAGAGCGCGATTCGAAGGGAGGAGCGAGAGAGAGGGCGGAGCGGAGAGAGAGAACGCGATGGGAAGGGAGGGGCGAGAGAGAGGGCGACGGGAAGGGCGCGGAGAGAGAGAGCGCGACGGGTAGGAGGGGCGAGAGAGAGGGCGACGGGAAGGGAGCGGAGAGAGAGATCGCGACGGGAAGGGAGGGGCGAGAGAGAGGGCGATGGGAAGGGAGCGGAGAGAGAGAGC